GGCCGGGTCTCCAGAGCGAGTGCCAGGATAGGCTCCAAAGCTACACTGAGAAACCCTGTCTCGAAAAAAAAAAAAAAAGCAAGAAAGAGTGCAGGCTGAGCAAGCCATAAGGAGCAATCGGTGCCCTCTGCATCGTCTCCTGCCCTGCCTGAGTTCCTGTCCTGACTCCCTTCAGTGATGGACTATGACTTGGAAGTGTAAACCAAATAGACTCTTTCCTCCACAACTTGTGTTTTTTGTCATGGGTTTCACCACAGCAATACAAGTCCTAAGTGAAACTCCGTAGGTTCTTAAACGCTGAGCCATTGCTCCAGCTATATGGCTGCCAAGCTCTAGTGTCACCTGCAGACCTGATTGTTGGACAATGTTTTCTTTCTTGTGATCTCATTTTCATAGTGGGAAAAAAACCTTCCCAGAAGCCCCACTAGGAAACACATCTTCATATGTCTTTGGCCAAGGCATCCAAACACTTGAGCCTCAGCCAACTCTAGCAAGGGGTATCTGAATTGACTTTAGACCACAAGTATATCCACCTCTTATTGGGTCTTTTTCTTTTTCTTTCATGCATCTTTTCCATTTATGGTATGAAAGCGGTCCACTGATCATGTTGGAAGTGGACCCCTGGGGGCTCAAGAGATAGCTCAGTGGTTGAAGAGCCCTGCTGTTCTTACAGAGGACTGGGGTTCAGTTCCCTGTACCCACATTGTGGTGGCTTACAGTCACCTGTTACTCCAGTCCCAGGGGATCCAACACCTTCTTCTGACTTCCTCCAGTACAGATACTCACACACTAAAATAAAATAAATCTCTAAAAAAAGAGAAGACTCCCAACCAGGCGTTGGTGGCCCACACCTTTAATCCCAGCACTTGGGAGGAAGAGGCAGGCAGATCTCTGTGAGTTCGAGGCCAGCCTGGGCTACAGAACAAGTGCCAGGATAGGCTCCAAAGCTACACAGAAAGGAGGAGGAGGAGGAGGAGGAGAAGAAGAAGAAGAAGAAGAAGAAGAAGAAGAAGAAGAAGAAGAAGAAGAAGAAAGATGACCCCCCCACACACACACACACAGTTATCTGGGCTGTGAGGTTTCTAAACCTACAACAAGGGACAGAAGAGAAATTTCAGCCATTGCAAGGAAAGCCTCACTTATACCTCAGAACCCACGAACCTTCAGCTAGCCGATGGTTCTTAGCCAGTACAGACTCTGTCAGGGACTGGTGTGTGTTCTTAGGCTGGTCAGCCTGTAGCTGAATTGCTTCCTCGTCCCTGGATGGTCATCCACAGTACCGCTACAGGCAAATCTCTTCTTAAATGCCTTCATGGATTTCTTTTTACCACAATCATCAATGATCCCTTGGACGGGGTAAGGGTCTTCCTGCTGTTCTCTGATGAGCTGTTACATGGATATACAGACTCCTCTGGGAGCAGCAGAAGACAGGTCACCATCTTTAGTTGTACCAGCAAAGGGGTGACAAAGGCCGAGGCTCCGGTTAACAGATATGTGCCATGACACCTTGACTTCAGCGGAAACAGCCTGCTGAAGGCAGGAGGGTGCCAGAGATGTCTAGAGTAGGGAACTACAGGGGAGGCAGCTACGTAAGTCCTCAGCCATGGCTCAGTGACAAGAACTGGGTCTCTCTTTTTTCTTTTTCTTCCCCGTGGGAACTGAAGAAAGGATAGTGTAGGGGACAGGACAGGCGTGGGCCTGTTAGAGGCTGGCTACAGGTGTGCCTGACCGTGCCTGTGGTCAAGGTGAGGTCAGGATGACGCGGGATGGGCTCTTAAGGGCCCGCAGAGCACCTGGAGGCCCCTTCTCCTTCCCCTTCTCCCTGGCCTCGCTGCTCGGCTGCCCTGGGATTTCTCTGGCTTGAATTTGGCTGGTATTTATCTCAATGAAGATATCTTGACCTTACGGATTACGGATTGTCTCTTGAGTCACGTAATAGGATAGTTTGAAGGCTAAGCAGAGGCTCTACCACTGAGCCTCGAACCACCGCCATTACTGGGGGATTCTAGGCAGGGGCTCTACCACTGAGCCACACCCCCAGCCCCTCACTGGGGGATTCTAGGCAGGGGCTCTCCCACTGAGCAATGTCCCAGCCCCTCACTGGGGGATTCTAGGCAGGGGCTCTCCCACTGAGCAATGTCCCAGCCCCTCACTGGGGGATTCTAGGCAGGGGCTCTCCCACTGAGCAATGTCCCAGCCCCTCACTGGGGGATTCTAGGCAGGGGCTCTCCCACTGAGCAATGTCCCAGCCCCTCACTGGGGGATTCTAGGCAGGGGCTCTACCACTGAGCCACACCCCCAGCCCCTCACTGGGGGATTCTAAGCAGGGGCTCTACCACTGAGCCACGCCCCCAGCCCCCCCTCACTGGGGGATTCTAGACCGGGGCTCTACCACTGAGCCACACCCCAGCGTCTCACTGGTTCATTCCAGGCAATGTTCTACTCCTGAGCTATGTATACACCCCCTCTTTTGTGTTGCCTGGTTTATGCATGTGCTCGTGTGTGGGTTCAGAGATAGGCATCTTCCCCAATTTCTGTTCACCTTGTTTTTGTTTTTGGTTTTTCGAGACAGGGTTTCTCTGTGTAGCTTTGGAGCCCGTCCTGGCACTCACTCTGTAGACCAGGCTGGCCTCGAACTCACAGAGATCCGCCTGTCTCTGCCTCCCGAGTGCTGGGATTAAAGGCTTGCGCCACCAACGCCCGGCTATTTTGTCGATTTTTTAAAAAACATTTTTTTTTGTTTTTTTGTTTTTTTGTTTTTTTGATTATGTATTCATTACGTATAGTGTCCTACCTGTATATATCCCTGCAGGCCACAAGAGGGCGCCAGATCTCATTACGGATGGTTGTGAGCCACCAGGTGCTTGTTGGGGATTGAACTCAGGACCTCTGGAAGAACAGCCAGTGTGCTCTTAACCTCTGAGCCACCTCTCCAGCCCTGAAATATCTTTCTTAAACCT